ATCCACTATCTCCTCTTATAACTGTAAGAAGAGACCCGTTAAAGACCTTCTGCTATATAAATACTGTTAAAAGAACTAGAATAACAGAAGCAAGATTTGTATATTATATGGATGAGTAGGGTAAAAATGAGAAAATAAGAATCACTGGTAAAGTGAGAATGAATTAACAGTTAATGTGAGTAAAAGTGAGAATGAATCTCTGGTTATCACATCCAAGAAAGGTATTTTGCACTTAATAAAAAGTGATAATGAATCACTGATTATCACATTTTTTGGTCTTAAAATAAATGAACTGGAAGACTTCATGAATGAAATGTGGGTGTAGAAACATTTTATTATTCTCTACTTCAGCAGAGGATGCCTGTAAAATGATCAAGAAAGCATCAAGAAGATGGCAAATCTATTGCCAATACATGCAAATATTCTGATCTAAGATATAGGATAGCTTTATGGATGGGATGGGATGTTATGACTGAAAATTTACATAATTTTTATAATTTACATAATTTTCATAATTTTCATAATTTTTATAATTTTAACAATTATTACAATTATTACAATAATAGTAATTACTATCATTTACAACAATTACCATAATTATCATCATTTACAATAATTATCATAATTACCATAACTTATATAGTATCTATTATTTATTAACTTATATAATTAATTATAAATATAATATTTATTAGTGAAAAATATTTATTATAAATAAAGTGCAATTGAAACTTTGAAAAAGATATCAATTGATCAATACAAAAATCTAGCTAGTCAATAAACTGTTCCTTGTTTATTGTTAATAAAATTTGTACATTTAATTGATTGAATAATAACTTATTAAACGGCAATTTTTTTTGTATATCAGATTGTATACATCAAAATTCTGATTGGCTAATTTCTATCATATGATCTATTCATTCAATATGTTCGTTCAACATCAACACATAAATTTTGATTGGTTGATAATCAACTGATAAGTATATACTATCACTATATAATATGTCTTTAAATTTCTGCTATTACTACTTCTTATCGCTACTAACGATACAAGCGATTTTTTTGCTACTGACAGAACGTGGTTACTTATATGTACCTGTCACTATAATGAAAATTGACATTCCAGAAACTGGACGCGTTCTTCCTACGTTTGCTAAAGCCCATTTACCTGTCACTATAATGGAAACTGACATTCCAGAAACTGAACGCATTTTTCCTGCATTTGCTGAAGCCCGTTTACTTGTCACTATAATGGAAACTGACATTCCAGAAACTGAACGCGTTTTTCCTGCGTTTGCTGAAGTCTGCTTACCTGTCACTATAATGGAAACTGATATTTTAAAAACTGGACGCGTTTTCCCTACGTTTGCTGAAGTCCGCGTGGTTATCAAAAGATATGCTACAAAAACTAATGCTGTTTTAATTTTAGGAAAGACATCCAAAAATCCTGATGGTAGTGACTATAGACAGACATTTTTTGTCTGTGAAAAACAAGGGAAGTATGGTAAAAAGAACGAGAAACATACCACCAAGCGAACTGGGTGTTCTTTTTCTGTAGGAGTAAATTATCACAAAAAAGTCCAAGAATTCATAATAACAAAGTCATGTTTAGAGCATAATCATGATCTTTGTCTGGATGCCATGAAATTCAGCACTGTCATGTGCAAATTTGATCAAAATGATCTTGGTCTAATCGAAAAGCTTTACAATGATGATCTTCAGACTAAGGATATATTTTCAGTGCTAAATTCTGTTAGCTCGAAGTATATTCACAAGCCTGATGTCTATAATGCTGTAAGCTGTCAGCGTTAGCGCAAATTACAAGATTTGAATGAAATTGAGATACTATTTAAAACTTTACAAAATGATGAAAATATTGTAGACAATATAGTGACAAAAGCTGCACATAATGATGAACGTGATCAAGATGGGGCATTCATTCAAGCAATCTTCTGGGCATATCATAGTGCAATTTCTGAGTTTCAATAACAAAAGATGTTCTGCTAATTGACGTGACATATAAGACAAACAGATTTTTGATATCTTTAATTGCCATTTATAGCATTGATCATTTCAGATCAACATATCCACTAGTCTTTGCACTTGTTTACTCAGAGATCTATGATTTTTATTATTGGGTAATACAACAATTAAGTCAAGTGTTTACTAAATTAATAGGTGATGCACAGGTGGTAACTTTCATAATTGATCGAGAATTGGCTCTTATGATAGCAATTTCTTCAGTATTTTCTCATGCAAGATATCAATTGTGTGTCTGGCATATTTTTAAAAATATTCAGAACAAGCTTAGGAAAGTTGTTGAAATAGATGAATTTATTCAGGCTACTCAAAGGCTCATGTATGATGATCTTTCAGTAAATTAGATCGATCAAGAGATAGTAGGATTGTGAAAATGATTTCCAAATGCAAAAACATATATGCTCGAGACATGGATGCAGCATAAAGAAAGTTGGCTTGCACCATATATGAATGGTAATATAAATCTTGATATAAAGTCAAGTCAGCATGTTGAAAGTTTTCATAGTAAGTTAAAGGGTATTGAAAATTGTATTATTCCAGTCAACAGAATGTTGTCAATCCTTTGGTGACAACTACAAGAGCACTCCCAAAAACTTGCATATGAAACATTTTTGCATCAAAATAGAAATACACAGGATAGTACAGATGTGGATCTGGAAGAACTACATTTAATATGCTCGCGATTTGCATTCGAATCATTTGTGAAGCAACAGGATGATCTTGCAAGTTAGCTAAGTATGAGATGCTTGAATATGGAGAGAGTATATTGTTACAGTAGTAACATAAAAATCGTTAATTCCAAAAAATAGTTGAAAAACATAAAAATATTCGTATAATAGCAAAAACCTCTCAAATCATTTTACTTCTTA